TCCCGCCCGATCAGTCGCGCGATGACGCCGCATCGCAATGACGCATTTAGACTAACGCCGCCCGGACGCCGATATCGACCCGCCACCCGTCACCCTTCAACCGCCACCTGCCACTCGTCACCCTATATACTTCACCCGTCGCTTACTACCCGTCGGGTTGCGATTGGCTGGGCCCGCCAGAGCGGCGGGTCAGGCTAGCCCCGGAGCAAATCATGCAAACGAGTTTCGTCCTCATGTATGCAAAACGAAAATTTCATCTATACAATTATCATGTATCCATCTAAAATATAATATAATTCAGTATGTATACTACGTTTATACAATAGGTCTACAAGCTGTGTGGAATGACGAACAACAATCATGAAGATTGTAGGCCTACGGTGACAATTGAGCAGCTAATGTTCACGTGATAAACAATCAGACGCCACGTCTCGTGTTCTCCTGGAATTATGATGAGAGGAAATAATAAAATGACTTGAGTACTTTACACTGTACTGAACGCCAGTACACTGTACTGAACGCCAGTACACTGTACTGAACGCCAGTACACTGTACTGAACGCCAGTATACTGTACTGAACGCCAGTACACTGTACTGAACGCCAGTATACTGTACTGAACGCACAGTAAACTATACTGAAAGCCAGTACACTGTACTGAACGCCAGTACACTGTACTGAACGCCAGCACACTGTACTGAACGCCAGTACACTGTACTGAACGCCAGTACACTGTACTGAACGCCAGTACACTGTACTGAACGCCAGTACACTATGAGAAGCAACTTTTTGCACATAACAACATATGTATTTATAGCTCTACCTTTCAACCTCTTTCTAATTCAAAATTTCATGCTATTTATTCACCGATACATCGTATTGACCAGCTACTTATACAGTAAACGATCAAGAGAGCGCGCGTGACCAAGAAATACGTGGAAATCTATCAGAATTTCTGCATAAACTTTGCAAAAAATACGAAGTGAAACTCGCGCAGCCATTCGAACAAGTCGGTTAGCAACAGAGCAGCGAGCGGGGTCGGCGACGCTGCCACATCTCCACCTCAGTCAACTCAGCTGCTGTGTGCCACATCTACCATTTCTCTTTATGCCTCTTTCTTTCTCTTTCCTCTCTTTCTCTCATTCTTTCTCTTTCTTTCGTTCTTTCTCTTTCGCTGAAGAGCTGGCTCTAATATGTGAGCTTGGACACGTCTCAATGATAGACGATGAGTGTTAAAAAAAACTTATAATATGAACACATCTGAACGTATTACATTCGCTCCTAAAAGTCACGCTTTGCACTGTGAAAAGATTATGCAGTTGCGACAGAGGAGGTGAGTATGAATGATGTGACGTGTCAAGCCCTAGTGACGTGTCAAGCCCTAGTGATGTGTCAAGCCCCAGTGATGTGTCAAGCCCCAGTGATGTGACAAGCACCAGTGATGTGTGAAGCCCCAGTGATGTGTCAAGCCCCAGTGATGTATCAAGCACCAGTGATGTGTCAAGTCCCAGTGATGTGTCAAGTCCCAGTGATGTGTCAAGCCCCAGTGATGTGTCAAGCACCAGTGATGTGTCAAGCACCAGTGATGTGTCAAGCACCAGTGATGTGTCAAGTCCCAGTGATGGGAGGGAGGCTAGGGGAGGGATATTGTGGGAGGGATATTGGAGGAGGGATATTGGAGGAGGGATATTGGGGGAGGGATATTGGGGGAGGGATATTGGGGGAGGGATATTGTAGAAATCGACGTTTCATGCTCTCATATCGGCCGCGTGTCCGTGATCGCTGAAGTGCTGTTCGTGATGAGATATTGGGGGAGGGATATTGGGGGAGGGATATTGGGGGAGGGATATTATAGAAATCGACGTTTCATGCTCTCATATCGGCCGCGTGTCCGTGATCGCTGAAGTGCTGTTCGTGATGAGATACGATAAAATCGCTATTATGATTAATATCGCCTGTTTCTTTATCAATGTTATCGCCGCAATGACCAAACACATGCAAAATATCACGTATTTTCTGCAAAACTTTCCTCTAATGTTACAGGGGATTTATTTTTTATTTTTGGGCTCCAAAGTTTTGCTACCTCAACAAAAAAATTCATATATGGCCGTATACCTGAAGAATATCAACATACAGTATATATCCTCTACTTTATATTTATGGCGCGTTGCACAAATTACTCGAATCAGTAACTGTATTAGTAATTCGAATGGAATTATTTATTCAGTTATTATCATTATTTAATTATTATATATTATATACATTATATTATTTTTATTATTATTATTAAGATTGCATATTATTAACAGATGAAGACCATGCTAGCACACCCAGCAGTTGCAACACACCCAGCAGCTGCAACACACCCAGCAGCTGCAATACACCCAACAGCTGCAACACACCCAGCAGTTGCAACACACCCAGCAGTTGCAACACACACTGCAGTTGCAACACACCCAGCAGTTGCAACACACCCAGCAGCAACACACCCAGCAGTTGTAATACACCCAGCAGCTGCAACACACCCAGCAGTTGTAATACACCCAGCAGCTGCAACACACCCAGCAGCTGCAACACACCCAGCAGTTGCAACACACCCTGCAGTTGCAACACACCCTGCAGCTGCAACACACCCTGCAGCTGCAACACACCCAGCAGTTGCAACACACCCAGCAGTTGCAACACACCCAGCAGTTGCAACACACCCAGCAGTTGCAACACACCCAACAGTTGCAACACACCCTGCAGTTGCAACACACCCTGCAGTTACAATACAAAAACTTGCCCAAACTCTACGTCATTTGCCCGCCGACTTCTAAGAATAAACGCTTATATTTAAAACCATACTAAACATAAGAAAAGGAACATTCTTCTTAATGTTGATTTCTGAAAAATCCGCGGTGTATTTAATTAACCTGATATATTCTATTTGGTGTATCTAATTAATTTAATTAACCTTAATAAGCCGGTTAATCCTTGCTAATTAATGACAATCTTTTGTTGCTAGTTAGTGACAATCTTAAGACCAGGCGAAGTGATTGCTTTGGTTGCGATGCTCACTTGAAGATACCATATCGCAGCCTGAAGCAGATAACGCGACTCACGTACGTCGTAAGTTGTGTGGTTGTCGTAAATAGCACCACACTCCGTACCTGCACCACACTGCACCACACTCCGTACCTGCATCACACTCCGTACCTGCACCACACACCCCGTACCTGCACTACACACCCCGTACCTGCACCACACACTCCGTACTTGCATCATACTCCGTACCTGCACCACACACTCCGTACTTGCATCATACTCCGTACCTGCACCACACACTCCGTACCTGCACCATACTCCGTACCTGCACCATACCACTTATCTGCACCACACACCCCGTACCTGCACTACACACTCCGTACCTGCACCACACACCCCGTACCTGCACTACACACCCCGTACCAGCACTACACACCTCGTGCCTGCACCACACACCCCGTACCAGCACTACACACCTCGTGCCTGCACTACACCTGTCTCTTATACACATCTAGATGTGTATAAGAGACAGGTCAAGGGACNCACACCTCGTGCCTGCACTACACGCCCCGTACCTGCACTACACACCCCGTACCAGTACTACACACCCCGTACCTGGACCACACACCCGTACCTGCACCACACACCCCGTACCTGCACCACACACTCCATGCCTGCACCATTCACTCCATACCTGCACCACATCCTGTATCAACAATTGCGTGTTCAACTGCCACATCACAACTTCCGTCAATTGTTTCGTTTCAACGCCACACCCGACGGAAAACGTTGAGCCACACCATCGCAGTCGTTCATTTTTAATGCACGGCCTACTTACCATTCATCACCATTACTATGAAGCTACGTGAACAGCATTACTATGAACAGATACCATCATCGTCCTTTTATACCGGGATTATCGTCCATATTTCAAGAGGCAATTGGTCGAGACTAACTAGCACTAGCGCTACCGTTTGTTCAGCCCACGCGGTGTTACACGTAACTAAGTCGCCACATAAACTACGCCTTGCTTAGACCGTATATGGCGACCGCAATCCGTACCAGTATCGCACGGTAGGATCTTGCTTCAAAGATTGGTTTTTCTTAATTTCAGGACTCATTTCGTGATGCATTAGTCAAGCTGCGAATAGACAAGTTTCATGATTTACGAGTCCCCATTATAAGCTCAAAATTTGAATGCATTTATTGTAGAAAGTTACTTTCACTGTAATAATAAATCTCGTGATGTCTCGACTATTTCAACGGGGGGACTGTCGGGTGGCATCTATTCCTGTCTTTCCCACGCCCACCCAATTTATAACCCTTCCTCCCGTCACGCTAGCGACCGCAACCTAATCACGGAACATCGTACCACGCATGGACTACCGCGTCGACACAGGCAATGGTGAAACTTCGTGTATTATTCCACAAATAGTAATTGCTTCTGACAACTAATCATCTCTTTAGTTCACTCGACCATAGATAGACCTCTTACTGAAACTAGATAAGGGCTGAACAGATTGTCAGACAACACTAGGTCACACTTGTTTAAAAGAACTCCGCTTCTCAATACTAAACCTCTATTTTAATTGTATTAGATTTCTCGATCAGTAGATCAATCTCAAAATTGTCCTCATAAATACGTATTGAATTTCTATGCCCGAGCAGAATACAATAGCAACGCTTTGATGAAATACTTGCACTTCAACTACAATTGCTACTAGTAAGATTAATTTCACATCGATTCAGAAGCTGTGTTCAAGAAGCTCGTCTAACACAAGGAGGAAAACACAAGTAATATTTTCAAAATCTTTACTAAAATAATCAGGTACATAGTATAAGCACTAATGCACATGTCCGTAGAACTTAGTCAGGCATTACAGCTTCACTGAATACACTAAATAGATTCCATTAAAGAAAAAAATGTTATAAACCGAGATAAACTTTGGTGAAACTATAAAACTACGATGAAACTTACTCCGCTCCTCATAATGAGTATTTACAAATGAATTCCTTTCAACCTTATCTTAAACAACAACAAAATTACTTCTTAGGCGTGACCTTCTTGGCAACAGGTTTCTTCGCCTTCTTAGCCTTGGGCTTCTTGGAGGCAGGAGACTTGGCGGCTTTCTTCACGGACTTCTTGGGGCTCTTCTTGACAGCAGGTTTCTCGGTGGTGGTCTTGGCCTTCTTGGGGGTCTTAACCTTCTTGGCAGCAGGAGCCTTCTTAGGACCGGCGGTTTTATCAGGGAGCTTGAAAGAGCCAGAAGCACCAGCCCCCTTGACCTGCTTAATAGTTCCCGCCGCAACTCCTCGCTTGAGCGCCACACGCACGTGCGAGCCGACAGCCTTCTCGTCGAGCTTGTATGTCGTCACGATGTACTTCTTGATTGCCTGACCAGAAGATCCTTTGCGATCCTTCAGTGCTTCGATGGCAGCCGCGATCATCTCGGTGTATTTAGGATGCGTGGCAGCTTTCTTGGCGGCGGCAGGCTTCTTAGCCTTAGCGGCTTTCTTCACAGGTGCAGAAGTAGAAGCAACGGGAGCAGCGGCGTCAGCCATGGCGAATTTTAGGCTTTGTAAGGAACTGCGTGACGATGTTCAATGCGCGAGGTCAGGATGTGTTCTAAACTCGCTGCAGAGTCGCGTCAGTTCTAATCGAAACGGTCCGACGTGAAAGTAAACAGCCACTGCAGCGCGCCAACCGAGTCGACTTTGTCGCGGCAACTGGCAGATTTGTGTTTTCTTGATCTCTTTGATAGCAATTTTCTCTTACTTTTTGAACAAGTAAAGAGCGTTTCTAGCAATAAATATGATGAAAAAGAGTTTCTACAGTCATTGGTTGTGGTATTTTTCCGATATTTAGAGTAACAAAGGAGATAAATGGGTATCTAGGAGAAGATCCCGTTGAAGTGATCACTATTGTGGGTCGGTTTTTCTATTTTAATTAATATCTATACATTTTTATGGCCATAAGCTATCATCAAATGAAAATTTGACAATTTTCCTACAGAATAGGCGGTACAAAAATTCAAATATCGTTCAATGAGTTCCTGAAATGAGCGTCAAAGTTGGGCGTGGTAACACACTTTTAGACTCGCCGAATGTGTCGATGCAGCCAAGCAATTTAAATATTTCAAATATTCGCTGGAATATTATTAAAATCCGCCGTTTTTCTCTTAAAGCTTTATTAATCCAATTACCTTGATTCAAAAAATATATGAAAACGTGTCATATTCATGCTAAAATGAGGTCATAACAGATGAGGAGAGACGTGGCGAAAGAGCTCAATCGCTCCCTCAGCCATTGGCGTCCAAAACTGAAACAGTTTAGTTTATTTTTAATATTATTGAAGCGAAAAATACTTTATTTATTCTATAAATTATAGCCAACAACTAACTTTTGAGAAGTGATACGCCTGGAAATTTTACTTGAATAATTCAAGTTTTAGAAAAATTGAACGTCGTCGTACGTGGCAGGTGAAACGCTGCGTTAGAAATGTGCTCCCAGAGTTAGGACAAACTTTCAGATTGCGTTTAGTTTCCTTTGGGTAGAAGTTACTTGCAATTATATTTAAGTAGATATTACTTGGTGTACTTGGTTGGAAGGTTTCTGCTCTAACTTTCATTGCTGCGATTATTACACGACTAACTCACGATATTTCGGAACGCGAATTAGAGGTTCTGTGCTAACCAGGTTTTAGTTGCAGTAAAAATGGTCGGTCAACATTTATAATTATTGAAAACTGCGCCTAAAATAAACGATTTGAAAATTTACGAACAAACGTGACGATAGATAGTATAAACGATAGAATAAATGTGATCATCATTAGTCATCGTCTCACAATAAATGATGGATAATCTGAACTGTTACTTATACGATAATAGTAAAATGAGTAACTAGCGCTGAGGGAACATGAGTAACTAGCGCCGAGTGAACATGAGTAACTAGAGCTGAGTGAACATGAGTAACTAGCGCTGAGTGAACATGAGTAACTAGCGCTGAGTGAACATGAGTAACTGGCATTGAGTGAACATGAGTAACTAGCGCTGATTAACATGAGTAACTAGCGCTGAGTGAATAAGAGTAACTAGCGCTGAGTGAACATGAGTAACTAGCGCTGAGTGAACATGAGTAGAGTAACTAGCGCTGGGTGAACATGAGTAACTAGCGCTGAGTGAACATGAGTAACTAGCGCTGAGTGAACATGAGTAACTGGCGCTGGGTGAACATGAGTAACTAGCGCTGAGGGAACATGAGTAACTGGCGCTGGGTGAACATGAGTAACTAGTGCTGTCATTCCAGCGTTTTATCACCACCGTAACTCTTAATACTTATGAATACTGATAAGTTAATATATAAAATAACATATAATATATAGTTATTATGTAATGTATATTTAATATAAGCTTTGAAAACATTACTGCGATGGCGATGTCAGCAGGAAGGTGCGACTTGACTCCGTCGAATTACACTAAATGGACCATGAGAAAAAAAATGTGAATGAAATACTATAAAGACAGCTCTAATGATGATGTGCAAAAAAAACGAAGTGTTCAGAAGCAAATAATAAGCACAATTGTCAATAATTATTACGACAGATGTTAGTAGTACAATAAGTATGATGAAAGTGTGAGATTTTTATGAAGGAATCGAAAGACAGGAGCGCAGCCTATTGCAGCTTGTTGCAGTGAGTTTCGTTCACATCTACTTCGTCCGACACTCCCGCTCCTCTGATCGATATATTGCGCTCTATAGCAAAAAGCCATCATTACATTAACAGAAAAACGGAATATTTCACCGTCAAAAATACGATAATGAGGTAAAATAGCTCTTTTTGACACCATATTCGTTTTTCATTTATCTCAAATGTTAGGTTTCACGAAGTATCGCCCTATCCCTGAGCGAAACAATAAAAATTGGCCCCATGCAATAAAATTTGGCGGGAAAAACGGCAGCCAACAACTGCGAACCCCTTGACTCCTGTACCGTGACCGTATGTACGGTTCCCATAGCGGGTACCGTGACCGTAGGTACGGTTCCCATAGCGGGTATCGTGATCGTAAGTAGGGTTCATATCGTGAGTATCGTGACCGTAAGTAGGGTTCATAACGTGGGTACCGTGACCATAAGTAGGGTTCATATCGTGGGTACCGTGACCGTAGGTACGGTTCCTTTGGCGGGTACTGTGACCGTAAGTAGGGTTCATATCGTGGGTATCGTGACCGTAAGTGGGGTTCATATCGTGGATATCATGCCCGTAAGTAGGGTTCACATCGTGGGTACCGCGACCGTAAGTCGGGTTCATATCGTAGGTACCGTGACCGTAGGGCGGGTACTGTGACCGTAAGTAGGGTTCATATAGTGGGTATCGTGACCGTAAGTAGGGTTCATATCGTGACCGTGAGTAGGGTTCAAATACGCTCAGTTTTACACTACAATTTGTCTGCGTAGTTTTAAGTCGGAATGAAATCGTTGCAAATTTCAGAGCGTCCACTCGGTGCCGACTGATCTGTGTAGTTTGCTCAGTTTTGCGCGATCTCGCCATGGAAGAGGCAGTATTTTGGTCAATTTAGGCAGTATGCCTTGTTAAAAAAGATTGGCTCATTTAGGAAATGCGAGAATCAAAATACCATAGAGATGGCTTGGAGATGTCATCTTCACCAGCTCCAGATGGAATCGATTAATTAATTTTTTCCCAATTATTTACGTTAAAAACTCAAATTATTAATATTTTACAACTGTTCTCTGTTTGGGCTTTCATCGATTTCTTCGAATTTCGCTACTAAGCTCTCATTTGTTTCCACATTTCTTTCTCTGTTACTATAGTCCTTGGATTTTATTCGCTAAATGCAAGGAAAACATTCGTATAGACTATAGAACATTAAATTCCCGAGAACATTAACGAAGTCCGCCATTGTCGCCAGAATCATCGAAACTGAGCACAAATAGAATAGGAAAACCGTACTACCGTCTACATTCTACACGTTCCGACTAATCGGCGTAATTCATCGAAATCTATGCTCTGTAGCTCACATATCGCTGCAAGTCTGCAACTGTGTAGTTTTCCCGCCGGCTTCAAAACTGCGCAGTTTTCCCGTCTATGCGCAACGTTTTATCTGCAACGATTAGAACTGCGCAGACAAATCGTTGTGTAAAACTGAGCGTGTGGACCGGCGGGAATTTATTGCTCTGTACGAAAGTTTTTCTTGCAGTTGGTGAGTAAAATCCAAGAACTATAGTAACAGGGGGCAAAAAAGCAGGCGACATACGAGAGCTTAAAAATTCAAAGAAATCAATGAAAGCAAAACAGAGAAACAGCTGTAAAAAATTTAGAATTTGAAGAGTATTTACCGTAAATAATTGGTAAAAAATTAATGAATCGATTCCATCTAGAGCTAGAGAAGATGACATCTACATCTACAAACTATCTCTCTAGTATATTGATTCCCCGCATTTCCTAAATGATCCAATCTTTTTTTTTAACTGGGCACACTGCCAAAATTGACCGAAATACTGCCTCCTCCATGGTGAGGTCGCGTAAAATTGAGCAAACTACACAGATCAGTCGGCACCGCGTGGACGCTCTAAAAACTGCAACGACTTCGTTCCGACGACAAAAATTGCAACGACTTCATACCGACTTGAGACTGAGCAGAGAAATCGTGTAAAACTGAGCTTGTGGACCGGCCTTTAGGTACGGTTCTTATCGTGGTTCTTCTCCGCCAGCGTGATGGTGTCTATGACGATGTGTGTTAATTTGGAACCAGCTATACTCAAACGTGATGAAAACAACTGCGTCCATGAGCAGCATGGGCCGCTGTGTAATTATTTGTACAGTGGTGTAGGTGGGGGACCTAGTGCAACTCAGAACTTACCCACGCATGCGCGAGGCATCAACGGATGGAGTGGATCTGGCGAGCATTTTGGACGATAGAAGCAGCGCCATTACACTATTCGGAGCCCTCGTGCTCCCCAATCTTGAGTATTGCAGCTGCCAGCTTTAGGCGCCGCTCAAGGCGGGTGCGGTGAGAAAACTGGAGGCAGTGCAGCAGGCCTTCACGTACAGGGTAAGCGGTGATGTGAAATTTGCCGATAAATTTCAGTGTATAGTGTTAGAAACATGCTGGTTTTAATGTTTGCACGTCTTCTCTTTTCAGGTGATAATTTAGTTGAATAAAGCTACATTCCAGCCAAACTTTGAGACCTACAAGACTTTTAAGTTCATTTCAAGCGGTATGAGGGAGCTAGAGCTGAACTACTGGGAGAAATAGACGGAACACGTTCAACGTTACATCCGGGACCCGAGGGCGGGGTGACCTGCCTAGCGACGACTCGGAGACGGAGGACGACGAAGGCGACGCATCAGCGTGACCGGGGACTATAGGCCGGAAGTCCCAAACTCATCATAAGGTACGAGGTGTGTAGTGCAGGTACGAGGTGTGTAGTGCAGGTATACGGGGTGTGTGGTGCAGGTACGGGGTGTGTGGTGCAGGTACGGGGTGTGTGGTGCAGGTACGGGGTGTGTAGTGCAGGTACGGGGCGTGTAGTGCAGGCACGAGGTGTGTAGTGCGGGTACGGGGTGTGTGGTGCAGGTACGGGGTGTGTGGTGCAGGTACGGGGTGTACGGTGCAGGTACG